TGCATCTGAAGAAGTGAGGTTCTTACCCACGAAAGCTTATGCTCCCAATACTTCTGTTAGTCTTAAAGGTGCCACAGGACCCTCTGTTGCTTTTTACAGATTCAGACTAACACGGCTACCCCTCTGATACTTAAACAAATGTGTTATTCTCCCAACCTCTAGATTAGCTGCTCAACCACTGACCAGAACCAACTCCCATGGAAACCTGTGGAAGCCTTCCCAAGAATGTCAATGGGCTTTGGAGCAGGTCCTAAATCTGGGCCCTGTCCTCTTCAGTGTGTCCCTTTAAGGATTATAATTACTAGCAAAAAATAGCAGTGACCGGTGAGTTTCCCATTTCCTTCAGTGGTAAACATTTCCACTCCTCCCCCAGAGAAGTGGTTGCTTTTCCTAGGCTGTCATGGTCACTGCCTGCCGAGCTTTGGGGAAGAAGTGGGTAAAACAGTATCTCAAAGGGGGTGGATGGAAATCCCAAGTTTTTGGAAAATCTCAACAGGACTGAATAGATTAAAAACAATCACTAGTAAAAATTAACATCCTGTCGTAAGCCCATGGACAGCAAAAAAACCTCAGCCTGAAACAACTGGCAATGCTTAAATAAAGCCCTCACTGTTGGGGTTTCTAATGATAAGGCTGCTGGACACGTGACAAGAGTGGCTTGAATGGTGTCTCCACGTCTAGACTTGGAAGGATGGATTTTTAATCAGTAATTGTTGGTAAGCGGTGATTTCACCGTAAACACACACACGGATGAAAAAATATTTCCATTGAGAACAATTGAAATTTGCAGATGAGCAAAGTAGGGAAAATGCTGCTTGAGAACGTATGAGGGTTTGATTTAAGGCGATTTACTTGTACTTGTGACGTGATGTTAGCAATTTGTGTTCTAGCAGTTTTAAAACTAACTTTTTTGAAGCTCAGTGTCCACGGTCATTAAATAATTATTGTCTGACCTTCCTAGTGTCTGAAACTGCCCCCCATCATTTCCTGCAACTGTGAACATTTAAATCAATAAAAATTAAAAAAAAAAATTTAAAACCTATAATTTTGTGTAACTGTTCAAATTTAAATCGATAAACATTGAAAAAAATGCTTAAAAATAACCTCAGTATTATCCCTCGAAATGATCAAACACAAGATGACAGAATTCTGCCAAGCCTATCTATATTGTATTCCCAGGGCTCTCTGACACATTCAATGCCTTTCAGAACTGAGGTGTGAAAGACATCCTACTATGCCCCGTGTTTCACAATGCCACAGATGCTGGTGTTTGAAAACAGGCTGATTAAAAATAGCGTGATAATTAAATGGCTCCAGAAATGCATCTGGGTTTCCTGAAGAAAAGCCCGGATCATGAATCGTTTCCGAAGGCCTACACAGAGAAATGCCCCGTTTTGGCATGGACTGTCGGGTCTGAAAGAACGTTGTAACATTTCAGCTCAGGATGGGCAGTCTCCTCATGGCGCAACACAAAGTAACCAATGAAAAGGTATTCATGCAGTCTAAGATGGTCACATGCAAAGCAAGAAGGTGAAAGGTCCAAGTACCAGGTCAAAGGTTGCCTCGAGGGGTCGCTTCAGTGATCTGACAGCTGGCTGAGTCTTAATTAGCAGGCAGCGAGCACATGATGGCAATGGGCCAAAGGGGGGTTCAAGCACAACAACAAAAAACAGCAAGCAAAGGTGCGTCAAAAGGAGAGCAACGTTGTGGATAGGTGAAGAGAAAAAAAAATGAATGCATTATACAATATATTAAAAAGACTAGGCATGCACAACATGGGGAGTTCGCTACAGTTAATCGGACTAACTATTAGTCAGCTTTTTCCTCTTGGCAATCTTTAAGGACAAAGCAATCCCCTCACAGATCACAGAAAGCATTTGACCTAAACTAATCTCACTGCGGCTCACAACGTATCAGCCTATAGCTACTTGAGAATTAGCTGGTGGAGCTGGGGTTTTTTTTAACTATGTTTTTCATGCTTTAGTCAATGATATGGCTCGGCATGCCAGACTCAGAGCTTGACTCTGCAGCGACACAGCACACGTGAGGGGGCAAGGAAGGCGTGCCTGCTCAGGAAGGGTTCTCCGGCACATGCTTAAGTGCTTTTCTGAATTGGGGCCCAACGGCCTGATCCGAATCCCACTGACTTCAGTGGAATTGGATCAGGTCCCAAGTGAGTAAAGTTACTTGTGCATTAAGTGCCTGCAGGATGGGCCCTTCAGATGATCTTCCTGAGCTTTTAGGAGATGAATGGATCCAAAATCTACTTGACAGGGGCTGGTTCAGATGCTTTGCATCATATGTGATTCTTGATGAAAGCTCAGAAGCCACTCTTTTCTTTTTTAAATTATTATCCTCACCAGATACAAGAAATGCATCAAACCTCCAAAAGTGAATGAATAATGGAAACTGTTTTGGTAGTAAGTGTGTTGCAACAAGCAATCAATAAATATTGTAAAGGTACTAGTTAATGGCATACAAATAGGTTTAATTACTTTTATGACAGGAGCCAGCAGCATGAATAAAACATGCATTGGCTTTAATTTAGTATAAGTGTCCTAGGTAACTAGTAAAAAGTAAAGCTTCATTTTGTAAAAAAACAACAACACGAGTTTACATTTCTCTGTCAAAAGATCTGAGTGAAGTAGAGCTGTTCTTTCAACAACAAAAATAATAATGAAGAATTGCTACTCCCTTCTCTTTTTACAAATAAACTGTGTAGGGCAGATAAATACGAGAATATAAATTGTTTCCTCATATACATCCTTCCATGGATTCTACTAGAGGACAGCTGTTTTATTTATATAATCCAGGGCACAAATGTAATATTGCTTAGTGCCTGAAGGATAATTGCTTCCAGTTTTTGCATTATGTTTCATCATGAATGGAAAGTACCCTCTCTTGCTATCTGCGGGGAAAGTTGCTCCATAAAAGCCAATTAGTCTTAATTCATTAGCATTTCTAAATCAGCAAAAGAAGTAAGAACCCCTTTTTCAATATTAATTATCCATACAAGAATGTACAATAGCACTAACTCCTCCTCCAGACACACTACTTCACCTCTGCAACTGGCCTTTGCTCCCTTTTGAAATGTACTTATGGTACCATACCCTCAGCTGTGTAAATGGATGCAGCTCCACTGAAGTGAACAGAGCTGCATCCATTTACCCCCTGGCCCATGAGTACCAAAGCTCCCTTGGCTTGTTTTTAGACCTTTATTTATCACTATGCTGCTTTGGGATGCAAAGACTCCAATTAAAATGCACTCAGGGCTTGATTCTGTCTGGTGCTGAGCGCCTCCTTCTGGCTACAGAGCATCTTCAATCTCCCTTTGACTTGAGGGAATCATCGCCTCACAGCACTGAACCTTAGTAACAGCACAATGCTGCTTCATTTTCTAGAATCAGCAGGTGAAATTCTGGCTCCACTGAAATCAACAGTTTTGCCATTGACTTGAATGGGGCATGTATATTACCCATTCAGTCTGTAATCAAATTTGCTTTGCACACTAGCTTTGCACACTATTCAGACTAAAATGGTAGCCAAGGCTTGCACAGGGAAAAGTTTGTGTTCATTGTTAGTGACATTGTATTAACATTTGATGCATTTCACTCCATAATGTCACGTCGGAAGACCATGTGCTTTGCCATCACGTCCCCAAACAATGAGATACGATGCATCATGCTACACGGATTACAATGAAGGGATGGAGAGATGGACACACTCTCAGCTCATCACTTAAACTTTTCCAAATACTTAGCATCACTTTTCTACTTCCTGCATACATAAAATCGTTTCATACTGGCTCTATGGTTCGATACGGCAGGTCGTGCCCTTACCATTGCAGTTGCAGCTGTCTGGTTCACCTGGTGTTGAGCTGCCTTGATTTTGGCTTGCAGGTGTGCAGGGGGATGAAAGTACTTGCATTTCTCCCTAGAGCATCGGCCTTTGATGTAATCCATGCAAACTGTAACAGTGTTTTCGTTTGTGTCTATCATTGCAATATCTATGGGGTGAGCGTAACGGCAATCATTCTCACCACGAGTGCAATTTCCACGCTGAAACTCTCGGCAAACCTGAAAAGAAAGTCACCTAGTTGAGCACGACATTGAGTCGGGCTTCTCTCAGCATGTTCAACCAGGGATGGCAGTCAAGTGGGTTCCATTACACTCAGCAAAGCTGTGAGTTCTGATTCTACACCCTTCAACCCTTGACAGTGCTATTCCCCACCAGTCCGGGTGCAGAATCACCATCTGGGCTACCTACAATATTAACAATGGTAACAGGAAGCGTGGAACAGGACACGTGCAGAATTTACACTTCCCAGGGCAAATCTTGGCCTCACTGAAGTCAATGGGAGTTTTGGCATTAACGTCCAGGGGCTAGTATTTTACCCCTACCTTTAAGCTACATTATATTTTAATATTGCTGCCATTTTTGCCTTACTGAGATCTGAGTTTAAAAATATTCAGCAGAAAATCATTCTCTCAAGCAATACATTTAATGTACAAAGAGCAAGCTACTAACATTTGCAACAAGTCCTGCCTAAAATGGGCTGATTAATTTCCCCCAGAAAAACTCTGACCCACCAGTTACATGACAATGTGTCTGATGACAATGAGTTAAAACCCAATAATGTGCTCTGAAGGCACGGCCGGAATTGCCAGCTTAGTGAAGGACAAGCCGTTCCTTATATATTATGAATAACAAAACGTCAAAGGCACAGAGCCACATTTCTGTAAAATGGATCTTCAAGGTTTCCTTGATCTGGGGAATTTAGAAAAATTGCTAGCTGATATATTGGGTCAAAATTCAGATGTCCTGATGCTAGTGGTGTCAGTTACACTCAGTTATATGCTTAGGGACGGGTCAGAAGGACTGTAGCAGGAAAAGCAATCCCCCAGAGGGCGTAAAGGTGGAAGACAAAGAAGGGTGACAGCTGAAGGATCTGAGTGACATTTTTTACACTGACATCCTGAGAGATAATTTACACCAATGTTTGTGGCTCCCTTGGAATTTGGGCCATCAGCCCTTAGTTCCTAAAACGTACTTTCTGTCTAAACTCAACCCTTCTTTAGGTTTTCAATATACATACAGTATTAACACTCCCTGCGGTGCCCTCTAAATAAACACTGACTACACCGAGGGGAGTTGTCTTATTGGAAAAGACGCCTTTATGCTCAAAATGTTTATTCAATATTATACTTAAACTCAACGACCACCAACCTCCTCCCCGCCCAACCTGGCCTCCCTAGAAGCGTGACACTGTAAGTCTGAAGGGAAACAAAACTAACACTGTGACCTCAGCAAGTGCCATTCGCATAGGGCCTGATCCAACTTCCCTGGAACTCAGTGAGAGTCTTTGCGTCGACTTCAACAAGAACTGGATTGGGCCCAACTTGAAAAGAGGGAAGAGGCTGTCACCTCCGTCTAACCTAACTCGTCGCTAAGGAAAGTTCTGCCTTAGGCGAGGTCACCCATTCGCATCTAAGCCTGGCAAGTGTAACACTCACAGAAAGTGATTTTATCGAATTGTGACCTAACAGAAAAAGGTCACAAAGCGCATTGAAATCAAGGGAGAGATCGAGCTTACAAGCCTCCAGTGACTTCAGCTCGGGCCCACAATGAACAACCTGTTGCAGGGTGTGGTAGCACCAACAACTTAAAAACTTCTTAACTCAGAGCAAGGGTCTCAAAATAGCTTGCCTTGCAAAAAAAGCAGGTCAGATTCTGCCCCGACTGACACCTGTGCATTGAAGGCCACAATGCTGTTCTGGATTTACACTGCTGCAATGGGGAGCAGAATTTGGGCCAACGTGCCCCTTAAATCCCCTTCCATAATATTGTGTTTTACAGTCCACATACCTCCAGTTTATCTGTACGCATCAGTTTCTGAGCAACAGAGCCTCCCGGTACTGTAACAGTAGGATTCCCGGAAACCAAGACAGGCGTATTTGGTAAAAGTTCTGCAGGAACCAAGCCCATCCCAGGAGAAACATGACTTAGGTAGGGACTAAAAGCCATGGTGGGACTAGTTGCAAGTGATGGAGTCACAGGAAACGTAGTCTGCATGTAAGAAAAAGGAAAGAAATATGTTACCACAATGCTCGGTCATGGATTAGGGCGGTCAAAGATGCTTATAACCTGATAGACAGCATGGTTAGCAACATCAAAATGCTTTGCTTTTCAGTCTATTAATTTACTGTCATTTACTTGTGATCCATTCGTTTCTATTGACTCACATGTACGTGACACATTCTAAACAAAAGACTTCTTCATTTGTAAGAACAAAGAGTATCGATGATCTTTATAGTTTAACGACACAATTAAGAATGCAGGCCAGTAATCAGAGCAGGCGCAAATTAACCAGTCATCTCACTCCCAACCAGTTTCTCCCAAATGAATTTCTCCTTTACCTGACCCCACGATGGGCCCACTCCTATAATATGCTAAGCATCCCGCAAGGTTGGGATCCATATAATTACCAACATCTATGCCCCTCACACTGAAGCTATTATTGGCACACATATCTGGCATTGTATTGGACCTGTCTGAATGAGAAGACCATTATGTGAGGCTCACTAACCCTACAGCTAAGTCACCTTGTGCCATGATCTTGTCAGATCTCCCAAGAGTCGGCAAGATCAGGTAGGTTCAGTATTTGGAAGAGAAATGACCAAAGAACACCCAGGTGACTTGGTAGGTGGTACTCTTCTCTCTGGGCCAGAACTAAACCAGTGCCCCGGGATGGCATTAGGAGGTACTGGGATACTAGAGGTGTCATGTTCTGGATAAGACATAAAAGCTCTTGAGTCTGGACCACACGTGATCATTAAAGATCCCATGGCAGTTTGGTAAGAGCAGCTGAGTGGTTATCCAAGTGTCCTGGCCAGTTTCCATCTTGGCAACTCCCCCAGCAATGTCAGTTGGATAAGAGAATTTTCACTCTCTCTTTTGGCCCAGATCTAGCAAAGCACTTAAGCAGGTGCTTAACTTTAAGCATGTGACTAGTCCCACTGAACTCAATGGGACTTTTGATGTGTTTAACATTAAGCAAGGGGCTGGGGACTGGACTAGATCTCTTGAGCTCCCGTCCAGCCCTCCACTTTTATAATTCTGTATGCTTAAGTGCTTTGTCAGATCGGGACCCTAAACGATTGCTGTGCATTGGGGAACCACTGCTATGTTTCAGGCCAGAAGTGACGCTCTCAGGAATGGGTGAGATGATGTGTGTGTGTAGTCAGTTTGTACTTTGTAACGTGCTTTGGGAAGGAAGACGCTACCGTGCTGAACACAAGACTGTCCACCATTGCTGTCTTAGCAGTCAACGCTTCTACTGGAGAATGTCGAAGTCACAGAAGTGATGGAATTTAAGGCCAGAAGGGAACACCTGATCACCTAGTCTGAGCTCCTGTATACCACAGGCCACCGGTGCCACTCAGCACCCACACACTAAACTCAATAACCGATACCAGACCCAGCTGTGGCAGCCTTCAGATTTCCCTCAACTGCAAATGAATCTCTCCACTACAGCTGCAGTTCAGTGCCTATGTAGCTGCAGTAGGAACATGTGAATTAGTGCTGCCTCAAAACAATGGTCAGGCCAGATCTCACTCCTGATCTGTGAAAAATGCCAGCTGATACAGAAAGAAGCTGCATGCACAGCGGGCCCGACGCAAAGCCTGTAGCAGGCAATGGGAATCTATCGATTTCAATGGGCTTTGGATCAGGCCCAGCGTGAGGTGAGCATGGGGGCTCGTAATCATCATCGTTATCCTTCTCCATGACGTCCGTCACCTTCAACGTAAAATTTTGGTTATGACAAAACCCTATTTACACACTCGCAAATCTCCAATTCTACTGCAGGCAGCTAGACTCACTGCTCAGCAACGAAAACAAGCCTATTGCAAGAAAATCACAAGTGCATGCACACACGTGTGCACACAAACACACGCTCATGCGCACGGACACATGCGTGCACAGACACGCTCATGCACAGACACGTGCACACAAATACATAGACACACGCTCGTGCACACACACACACACACACACGTACCCAGGTTTACGTTTGCTTTTTTATACCCAAAATTCTCTTTCGATTGTGCCGATTTCGGAAAACTTACATGGGTATATTTTGTTTCTTGCCAGTTCCCTCACACTAGCCCTTTCACATACTAGCAAACACCTTGACTGTTGTGAATTGGAATACATTATCTACTCTCCTTTGCCCAAGGTAACGTCAACCCAAGTACATCCCACGTTCTTGACTTAACAGCCATCTAGAATGACTCCACTTTTGCACAGTTGTGGTGACAGCCAGCAGCATCTTACTTGTCTCTAGGACCATGGTAGGGTTAGGTGTGCAAGGCCATTTCCCAAATACATCCCGCTGTGTGTCTCAGAATGAGTCGAGACAGGATGCTCAATCAGTGAAGCAGACACTGTCAATCTGGCAGAGCTAAAAAATCCTCTCTCTCCAAGAGACGCTTCCAGTTTTCCTCCTTTGGGTCCACACCACGCTGGGGCCTGATCCAAGATCATCAGAGTGGATGGGAGATTTTAAATATTACACCCGAGTGATTTCAGCACACTGCTCTTTAATAAATCACTCTCTTTCCTATTTCAATTCTCTCCGGCTCCCAGCCACACTATATCTTCTGTTGTTAGAAAAATTCTTTGCGGATCCTGAAATATGTGGCTCCCAAAACCGCGTCGCAGGTCAGTGGAAGGCAGCAGCGCACAGACTGGTTTTATTTTTTAGAAGCACTAGTAATTACCGTGGCGCCTGTTAAACGTCTGTTGGCGTTTCCATTGTTAATCCTTTTTTAAAGATGCTTATAACCTGGTCAGTTCTAACAGCATCGGGCTGGAACCCGACGCAGCCCTTGTTTTACGGACACACTCATCCACTGTGGCCCAAACTTTCCCGCCCATGTGTGTGCACAACCGGTGCTGACCTACTTTACACCGGCTGCTCACGACCCCTGGGAGTCGAATGGCCATCCTGGCCAGGAGGGAGCGTGCCGGAGAAGCTCCTATGTCACCCAGGCAGGGTAAACCCTTGAGGAGAGCCTTTAAGCCAAGTTTACAGCTGACTATGGCTGCTCTGCACCTCAGCTGAGCCAAGGGTGTGCCCCCCAGAGGCCATGTTCAGAGACGAAGGAAGGATGTTCCTCCTGGTTGCTCCTGCTGCTTCCGGATGGAGCAGGGCAGGGAAAGCCAGCGGGCCTGGAGCCCTGGGCAGGTGCTCGTGGTTCGGGAGGGGAGGCAGTGGGGACTGGAACACATGGCAGTAGCTGGAAGGAATAGATCTGAGCAGGGTGAAATATTCCCAAGGAAACACCAAACCACCCGCTCCACCAAGGCCTCTGGGTTTCTTTAGGAACTGGAAGATGGGCCCAGTTCCCCGAAAAACTCACGACTTCCTGCAGATCCTTCACTCATACCAGGCCCCTTCTCTAGTGGAAAGCAGCCGATTTCCAAACAAATATGGGTGCATTCTGAGCAAAGGGGCCTCGGGCATGGTGAAGATTACATCTTCTCAACGTGAAAAACAGCCGTCTCCTGGAATTGCATGGAAAAGCAAAACTGAGGGGTCCAACATGTCTAGAATAAGGCAGTGGGAAACGTCCAGGCAAAATGATTCAGACACACCATCCCCAGTTTTGCCCAACTCATGTTCTCTCTCTCACTCTCCCACACATAGGGCCAGATTCTCTGCTCCATTATGGCCCCTTTGCACTGCTCCAATGGCAAATTTGCAGCTGGCTTACGCGGCTACCCAGAGATTCCCCCAAAGTACTCAGCATTCCCAGGGGGGTGGAGCTGACCTCGCGGTCTTTCCATCATGCGCCTGCCGTCCCCCAGCTCATCCTCCAGTGTTTTCCAGGACCAGGGGAACTCAAAGGTGGTGTCACATCACCTCTGCCCAACCCTCATCTTCCTGGTCCTGAGCACAGCAGAGCGTGGCTGGATTGAAGAAATACATGCACACACATGTGTACACACACACACGGGCATGTGCGATGGGACGTGTGAGTCTTAATTGCTGCAGGTGACACGGACATTGGTTTACCCAATTCTCAGGAGGACATCAGCCGCACAGTCCTCAAGGTTTCATAACAATGGCTTCTGCTTGTATAAATTCCACACTCCAGTGCTGCGGACTGAAAATCCCCACCCTGCCCTAGGGCTCAGACTGAAACTCCTAAGCTTCCCATTCATTTTCACTTGGACGGCTGCAAGTTCCCACTTCTGCCCTGCCACAGGCAGCCAGCTACTGCTCATGAAAATGAGCAATTGACGTCATTAGCCCTGGCCACGTACACTGCAGCCCAGCATCACGCAAGCGTCTCCAGCAGCCTGTCCAATGAACCTCAGTCTGGACTTACAGCACAAATCCTGTCCTTGGCCTCTCCTTCCAAGAGCCTGTTCTACAGAAACGACTGGAGCAGCCGTTGATATTGCCAATTCGTTTAATCTGTGCCCTACGTCGAAGCAGACCATTGTCAATGTATAGCGTGGTTAATGCCCTGAAAAATGCCCTATCAAAATGGCCTGGGGAGGGTCTGGATTTATTGCGGTTTGCAAGTGAAAAAGATGGCTTTCCTAATTGCCTGGCTCCTGAATCATTACCAGTAACAAAGACTCTGCTGGCCAAATTCCGTCCTCCTGGAAATCTGTGCAGGCTCCCCAGGCCAGATTCCTTCCGACAGAAATGCAACAAACTCCTCGTAGACAGTCAATTCCTGCTCAGCACAACTGAACTGTTCCAAAACACGTCTCTCCTTGAGACCCTCAATGACAGCCTAATCCTGGCCCCCTCGCTCATGTGAGCAATCCCTAATAATACTAACCTCCGAGCTCTTATCTAGCGCTTTTCATCAGTCGATCTCAAAGCGCTTCGCAACGGAGGCGAGCATCATTACCCGCATTTTACAGACGGGGAAACGGCACAGTCTGCTTTGTGTGGGGAACGGGATCTGGCCCCGAGGACGTTTCTACGGGCTGGCAATGTTTTAGGGGCAATGTAACTGTGTGCTGTATCCTCTCATGCCCCTTAA